TCAATTCTGGAGACAGGAAGTCTGATAGCAAAGATTGGTTTCTTCAGTGGTCTCTCTCTCTCTCTCTCTCTCTCTCTCTCCTCTCTCCTCTCTCTTCTCTTTCTCTGTCTCTCTCTGTCTCTGTCTCTGTCTGTCTCTGTCTCTGTCTCTGTCTCTCTCTCTCTCTCTCTCTCTCTCGTTGGCGTGCAGAGTCCCTGTGTCATTAAATGGTTGACCCTAGTTTCTGGGTATTTTCTGGTCCTCTGTTCTTATAAAAACACCATTTATAGTGGATTAGAAGCCATCCACTGATTTTACTCAAGCTTTATTGCCTCTTCAGAGACCCTATCTTATCCTCAGTTGTGTTGAGGTACTGAGGGTTAGAAGTTAAATGTAAGAATTTTTTATATTTTAATCAGTAATATCCCAATAATGTCTTTCCTGATGATTTATCCTGTGGGAATAAATAAAATACAGAATAAAATATTGATCAAGATGATTGCACTAATAAATTCACATGTTGCATGGTAATCTCATCATACAACTACTTAAATATAATAAAAATATCATTTCAAAAAGGAAAATGGGTATGCAAAACATTCATTGTAGATTTTCATTAACAATTAGTAATAGTTAAAGTTGGATAGCCTAAATTAAATAAACAATAATATCTATTCAACAGGGTTTTGTCAGCTAGTAAAAATTTTTTAAAGTGAAAACTATGCAGAAACATGGGTAGAATTGTTGGAGTCAAGAATACAAATATCACAGCCGGGCACTGGTGGATCATGCCTGTAATCCTAGCTACTCAGGAGGCTGAGATCTGAGGATCATGGTTCAAAGCCAGCCCGGGCAAAAAATTCTGTGAAACTCTTATCTCCAATAAACCACCAGAAAACCAGAAGTGGCGCTGAAGCTCAAATGGTAGAGTTTTTGCCTTGAGCTGAAGAGCTGAGGAAAAGCGCTCAGGCCCAGAGTTCAAGCCCCACTACCTACAAAAAAAAAAAAGAATACAAGTAACACATGATGCATTGTTAACAATACTGTGCAAATAGTTGCTGTTGGGGTAAAAATTTTCTTATCACTGATCTAGATAAAGAGCAAAGAATACTCAAGCTATTTTTTTTCTTTTTTACTTCTCCTCTTTTCTATTTCAAAAAGAATGACGTTATTAGAATCCATGGTGAGTATTAAAAACAGAACCAGGTGTCTGTGTAGTAGTACCAGGTTTTTCAGTATAAAAAAAGAGTGAAGAAAATCTGAGGCCTGACAATGAACAAGGTGGTGATATTGTCAAGTGCTGCGGTGGAACTCGAAGCCCATGGCTGTGCCAGCCAGAAGGCTAAGTGTGGTCATGGTGACCTGACACAGCAGCCTGGTGTGCAGAGGGGCTGTCCTCGCTCTAAATTGAGGCTCTCCATTTTTCAAAGTCTACTTCCAAATGCAGTTGTTGGAATGGGTCAGACAGAGGCCAGCTCTCTATCTTCGCTCACTTTCTGTTATGTCCCGAATGCACGTGTAGTTGTTGTCTCTGCAATATTTTTCTTGCACATAACAATTACAAACTATGCTCTGGCCATTTTGTCCTTTCTGAAAAGAGCCAGAGCAGGCAAAAAAAATCAGGAGGGGAAAAAATAACACCAGCTAGTTTTCTTTTCCTAGCACTTCATTATTAGGAGATCAACCAAAATTTCCCTCCCCCCACCCCCTAATCTTTCCCTGATGACTGCTCAAGTTCACTGCCACTCAGCAGTCACACGAGGGACCTCTGAATGGGCCGGGCCAAATGGATGAGCTCCATTTTGCTTCCATGACTGCAGCCTTGGGCTTTCTCAGCCTAGACTAGAAACAGCAAGCTTTTGGAGAACAGACAGCCTGCCTGCCCTTCCCTGCCGCCTCTGACAGGGCGTTAGGCCTCTAGGAAGGAGTGACTTGAAGGTTGTCACAGCCGGAGAGGGGAGTGAGAGGATTCGCCTGCTGTCATTGACAGACCCCGCTCTTTTCTCCAGCTGAAAGGATCTGTCACGCCCTTCTGTGGAGTCCTGTGGGGCCTCCAAAGTGAGGGCCATAAGTAATCAACAGAATGAAAAAGTTGTCCCAGCCTTGCAGACTCAAGTCAGCAGAGAAAGAATTACCGTGCAGTGTGTGGCCTCCGCCTTCTGTCTGTAGACCTTACCAAACATTTGCCTGTAGCATCCCAGACCGTACACCCTGCTCTCCTGGAGGCTTGGGTAGAAGGGCGCCTTATTTTTAAGGATAAATCAAAATCACAGCATGGAAGTAACCCGGATATCCTCTGATTGTGTGCATTTACTGAGTGTTTATTCATGCATGCACACGCATGTAGAGTGAAACAATGCAGCCCCCAGAGTGATTCATTCATCCTTATCCCACAAATCTTGGGGTGCTCTGGCCAGGTGACCAGCCATGCTGAGCACGGGAGAGCAGGGGTGAATGGAGACCACACTGCCACCCCAACAGAGCTCATGTGTAGGGTGGAAGTGAGTAAACAGGAAGCATGAATTTCTAGTCCACTCGGCCACACATGTTCATATGTGAGGTTAGAATGAATGGAATTCACCTAGTGAATGAGGTTAGAAGGAACGGATTCATCCTGTAATGAGGCCTAGCATGCGGGGGTCCGTGCTCACCCCTGGGATGCGGGGCAGAAGCTGTGTGGGGTTATGCTGTGTGTTGGCTAGGAGTGAAGAGAAGCAGAGGGAGAAGGATGGAGAGAGCTCCCGGGCAGCCCGCAGGGTGTGGTGGGAGTTCCTGTGGCCCGTGGCAGGAAAGCCTGTCTGACTGCCACGTGGCCTCCAAAACCACCAACACCCAGAGCCAAAAGTGAGAGTGTGTTATGTGGACAAGTGACAGGATGCAAGGCCAGGGAGAAGGACGGAGAATGTGCAGAGTTGATGCCAGTGCCCCCCTCTCTTGTGATTCGCCGTATAGACAGATCTTTATCGTGAACTTGACTGCTTTCAGAATTGTGGCTGAGTTTACTAATGTCCCTTTATTCAGCCATTTAACCACCATCAGCTCTACTGGATCCTGAGCTAGGAAGGCAGTAAAGCCCCTGTGCCTCAGGACCGGCAGTCAGTTCACCATAGCACAGCGCACCGAGGCGTGGGTCTGAGCATGGAGGAAGGAGAATGAGTGTGGCCAAGGGAGCTGGAGAAAATGTCTCCAAGAAGGTGGCATTGAGGCTGACATTAAGGTTGGGCTTTGGGCAACCCCTAGGTTGTGAGGCAGATAGGCATCGTTGCCAGGGGCAATAACTTCTTTTTGGTTTTGGGTATTTTTGTTTTTCCTGCATTACTGGCCGGTGTTCTGCATCAAGCTACACCTTCAGCCCTTTTGTCTTTAGAGCTATTTTTGAGCTAGAGTCTTCCTTTTTGCCCATTCTGGCTTGGACTGCATTCACACAGTAGCTGGCCTGTCAAACACATGCCAACACACCCAGAGGTGTTTTTTCCTTTTCTGTTGAGATATTTCTTCTTTTCTGTTGAGCCTTTATGGCACATCTGGCTTAGAACCTCCCATCTGAACTTCCTAGATAGCTCCAACGACAGCCGTATGCCACGGTATCCAGCTGTTGGTTGAGATGGGTGTCTCATGAGCACAGTGCCTGGGCTAGCCTCAAACTGCAGTCTGCCCAGGCTCCACCACCCGAGTAGCTAGGGCGGAAGGTGTGAGCCACAGGGCAGCAGCATAGTGGGCTGACTGTAAATGGCAGTACTCCTTCAGCTAGCACACACAATTGACCCTCTCCTCTCCACTCACATCCTTGTCAGAGATCACACAGGAAGAACACATTGTGTACAGCTTTATGATATGGTTGGTCTGACACATCAGATTTGAATTTCTTACAATCAAAATGTTTAAACATGGGCTAGGTGCCGGTGGCTCACACCTCTCATCCTAGCCACACAGGAGGCTGAGATCTGAGGATCAAGGTTCAAAGCCAGCCCAGGCAGGAACTCTTATCTCCAGTTAGACTCTTATCTCCAATTAACCACCAGAAAACTGGAAGTGGCGCTGTGGTTCAAGTGGTAGAGCGCTAGCCTTGAGCTGAAGAGCTCAGTGCCCAGGCCCAGAGTTCAGGCCCCATGACCAACCAAAAAATAAATTACTAAACATGACACTAGGAGGAACCTGGCATGAGCCGTTCCGTGACAGCCGCAGTAAGTGAACATTGCCGAAATGCGATCTGCATAGACTTGATTTCCTCACCAAAAAGAAAAGATGATAATACAACATAAAGCAGAAAAGCTGTCAACTATGAAAGTCATGGAAACCATATGTCAACTAAGAGGATGAGACCAGGGAGAAAGACAGCACAGTGAGCAGCACAAAGGGAACTCGGTGCTGAGCTTCCTAAAGGATTAAGCGAGAGCGACTTAAACCCTGCTGTTGATTGTCTGACTTACTCAGGGGATTGTGGAACTTGCTCTTTTTCCCATAGAGTAGAAAAAAAGACTTTCCCATTGAGAACATGTTTTCCTGTGGATCTGCACTTGAGAAAGAACTAGGGCTGAAGAATATAGACCATGAGGAAAGGCCAGCGAGGTGGATGGAGAATGTGGTTGCCAAGAGCACAGTTTTGGAAGTCACCACTGCCCTAAATTCTGCTTCTGGCTCTGCGACGCACTGACTACATCGTATTAAAGTTCTTGCACTTCATTTCTACCTGAGTAAAACTGAGAAGTAAAAGTACCCGTTTCATGGTTGGATGAGGAGCTCAGGGTCATCACCTTCCCATCATATAGTTTCTGGCTCTCCCTGTGTGGTAAGGAAGCCAAGGCCTGGCCCTCCTTATGCTGAAAGGAAGCCATGTCTGCTGCCTATGTCTGTTTCCTCACATGCACACATCTTCTAAGTACTTTGTGGAGCAAGTGTTGTCAAAACAGACACAAGTAGGCATGATGCCCACGTCCAGCGGGCTACGTGTCACGGCCAGTTAGAGCACAGTCAATCTGACAGCAAACCCTGCTCACATTTTTCCTTCTTATTTCTTGAAGGTGAACGATTCCAATTGTGACCAGGAACTTCTTTCCCTGCTCCTGGACGCCCGGCTGCTGGTGAAGTGCATCTCCACCCGCTTCTATCCGCATATCATTGACCACCTCTTGACCAGCATCCAGCAGGGGCGCTGGGATGTGGAGGAGCTGGCTCGACACCTGCGGGGGGCCGGCCACGAGGCTGAAGCCGGGTCGCTGCTCCTGGCTGTGCGGGGGACTCACCGGGCCTTGAGAACTTTCAGCACTGCCCTCAGTGCAGCGCAGCACTGGGTGTGAGCGCTGGGTGTGAGGCCAGCAGGCCCTGCCCCTGAGCGACAGGGCCTTGTGCTGGACCTGCACACTGGTCCCGTGGGGAGCAGGAGGCAGTTCCAACAAGTTTCAAATAAAGCCGTATGGAAACAATGAGCCCCTGCCTGGTTGGAAGCCTTGTGTTTTTTCCGTTCTTATATGGACTGGTTAATATGCCCTCCTGTTCACTGACTCTTTTTCAACCTTCTTTTCCGGATAGGATACTACTAACAAGAGTACCAAAAGCTGCAGTTCAGATAATTGGACTGTGTGTGAGAGAGTGCCAGTCACCTGTGGCTGGGTCAGGTGTTGTAGGATGGAAGAAGGGATGCTCCGGTTGGTTCTCTGGTTTAGGACAACGTATTCTACCTCCCCAGAATAAGGTTGTAATATTCATCCCAAGAACTTCATCAATAGTCGGGTGCCAGTGGCTCATACCTGTAATCCTAGCTACTCAGGAGGCTGAGATCTGAGGATTGTGGTTCAAAGCCAGCCTGGGCAGGAAAATCCATGAGACTCTCACATCCAATAAACTACTCACAAAACCAGAAGTGGCACTGTGGCTCAAGTGATAGAGCACTCGCCTTGAGCTGAAGAGCTGAGGGACAGCTCCCAGGCCCAGAGTTCAAGCAGCAGGACCAAAAAAAAAAAAAAAAAGAATTGCATAGATAGTATGTGAGGCTCTGTCAAATGCATAGAAGGCACCTAAGAAATAGTAATCCTAGTGTTACAGTCTATGACAGGCTGTGGCCGGTACCAGCCACAAAGGTTGCTACAGGGTTAGGGCCTCACACTGGGTCAGCATCAACATGATCAGGTTGGAACATTTGCATCCTTTGTCAAACCACAGAAGGGATGTTCGATACTTTCTCCCACTGCAGCAACCTGCACTTGAGGACTGAGGCTCGGACTGGATGTCCTAGAGGTAGCGTTCCTAGGTCTCACCAATCCAAGCCATGCCACAGCCTAGGAAGCAGACGGGACCTCCTCACCAACGTGGCGGCTATTGCCACCAGGGGCAGCCCTCTGGACGCAGGCACAGAGATAATTACCATAGATAATTACTGTAGATACGCTATCATTGGAAAAGGCAACCCCTGCAGTTTCCTTATTGGTACTTCAACGCCAGCAGGCTGAACATAACATGGCTTCCTGTGGTCTCTGCCACAGGATGTGGACCATGCTACATGATTTTTCTCTGCCGTATAGTGCTTTAGGGCAGAAGAGTCTCCGTGTTGTATACCACACATTCCCACTAAGGCCATATACCTGTCTGGCTCTACCATGTGTCTAAGAATACCATCTCTTTGCATGGCAATCCACACTACTGCCATTGACTTATCATTCCTGCCCCTCTTGATACACCACAGAGTCCTCTGATAAGAAAGATTTAGTCATCTTTGGAGGAGACTAACTGCATAAACTCACACCCTTAAGTTTAACTTTTTATCTATCCCAAGACTGAGTTCCTGCCTAGCCCTTCAGTAGCACTTGAACTTGAGGGTGACTTGGGTTCAAGCCTCTGAAATACTTCAGAGAAAAGCGAAGTGTGTCTTTCTCCCAAACAAGGGAACAGCTGTCCAACCAGACCCAAACATGCTTCCAGGATCTCTGGTGGCCCTAGCCATATGCCACATCATTGGCCAAGTCCCCCCAGAAAGTGTGCCTGCTGCATTCTCCAACCTTGCAGCTGCCCTCCATTATTTCAAGGACTCAAGTTCTTATCATCAGAACCCAAATGTTTAACCAAGGTTTAAGTCGCTCCTATGGGGGAAAAAGAGAACAAAAAGCAAAGGAATCACTCCAGCTTTCTACCAGTTGCATAAATGCTTCAAACTACTGCATTGGTTTTTATGTTGTCATTTGGAATGTCAACCATATGTTGTCTTTCTTGTCAGAGAAATCCTTTCATCATTTATTCCAAGTCTTTCCCTTTGAAAGCAAAGCAGAATAAGACAGGGCAGCTGTGGTCCTTTGGCTCCCTCTGATTCTTCAGTGAGGCTTCCTGGGGAATGGACCCAAGAGCAAGCCAGAGTTTGGGGGGGGGGGCGGAGGAGGGGGAGGGTTACCTTTGGGATCACGAGCCCTGGTATGAATACTGAGACCCTTTGGGTGGGCCACTCATCTCTGGGCCCTGGTTTCTATATTTTACTAATTAGTAATAAATAATTTGCCCAAAGACAAAGACAGCAGGGAATAGGAAAGTGAGACAAACTCAGGGAATTGACTTGGAAGCTAGCCCTTGGCCACAGCGCTGTGTTCACATGAGCTATGAGAAAGCATGTGGGACTCCTGGCTGGGCAACCTGGGTGAATTTTTGTATGGCATATGAGTAACACACGTTTCTATGTGTTCAGAACTGATAGTGAGATGACAGTATTGATGGTAATTTATGGCAAGAGGGAACTCTGAAATGTTGACTGACTCTTCTCACCTTCCTGCTGGTGGCTCGATGGGGGTAGGAACCAGAAGCTGTGACACAAGTCAGGTTGGGACTCCATGAATCTGAAGAAGTCCACCAGCTCCAGTCCTCTTTCCCTGGCCCTCAGCCATGCTGAAACTAGGTTTGTTTTTTTTTTAATTTAATTGTATTGTAAAGATGCTGTACAGAGGGGTTACAGTTACATGAGTAAAGTAATGAGTATATTTCTTGTCGAGAATTTTTACTCCCTCCTTTGTTGTTCTCCCACTATCCCTTCCCTCCCTCACCTCCCTTACTCCTCCTCCACCCCCTCCTCCAAGTTGTAAAGTTCATTTCCAATACAGTGTCATGTGAGTATCATTGTTGTAATGGGTCATCCTGTGTCCTTGCTTCAGCATTTTGTTATTCTCCTTCCCCTCCCCAAACGTATATGCAAGATGCAGGGTACCAATAGCAAGTACAGTGAAACAGGAGATATATATATACCATAGGGGGAAGAACATACAAATGAAACAAAACAATCACATTGTTGCTGAGGCTAGTTTTAAGAAGAGACCCAATGGTATGCAGTGAAAAGTCAAGGCTAAGCACTGGTTTCTCATGTCTTTAATCCTTTCTACTCAGGAGGCTGAGATATAAGGATCACATTTAGAAACCAGGCCAGGCAGGAAAGTCCATGAGACTCCTTTACCCAGTTAATCACCAAAAGTGAGAAGTGGAGCTGTGGCTCAAGTGGTAGAGTACAAGACTTGGGTGAAAACGCTAAGGTATAGTGCCTAGGCCCTGGATTCAAGCTCCAGTACCTGCCCAAATGAAATGTGAAGTTCTGAGGCTTATAATCTATAGCTACATTTAGATCTGGAGTTGGGGTTCTTTTTTAATCAATTGACTCAGTTCCCTGAATGTGACTTGGAGTTCAGGGCATGTTAAATTTTTCTTTCACCTTGAAAACCAGGTCTTATCCTTTTGGAACGAGAACTCATTATGATAATTATAGCAGGAGAGCTTTCAAAAGCTAGCTTGCTCTATTCTTTGGAGCGAGCTACCTTTTTCTCTGGTTAAAAGTATGGAGCAGTAGCTCCATACTTTCCCATTTAGTTCCAACAGCTGAGGCCTCATCCTTAATAACCCCACCCTCATTATAATTGGAAGATGGCTTGAACAGTAAGAACAAAGGAAAATGGACTCCAGCATGTTCGCAAGCTAGAAGAAAAGGAGGCTGCTTTTAAAGGAATGTAAAATGATTTATTGATCATTCACCATTATTCACAACAAACTAAACAATATACAGTTGGGTAACATTCTGATTACCATAAAGTTGTTTTTCTGGCTTTTGTGGAACCCAGTACTGAAAAGATTGAGCCTACATGTAAGGAATGCGTTGAGGTAAAGGAGAAGCATGCAAGTCAATAATTATAAAATTTAGTTCATGTAGGCCAGCAGGTCCTAAATAGTTGAAGTCTCTTACCAGCTGATTTACATTTTCAGGATCCAAGTCTTTAGATATCTCATGATCCATGAGCTTTCAGTATACTAAAAGCCGGCTCACTGCAGAAACTTAGTGAAAGGAAATCAAAATTTGTAGTTTTCTTATCTGGGTGGGGGAAGTTGTTGGTAGGAATAAATTGGTTCCTTTTAAGAAATTTTGCAAGCTAGGCACTGGTGGCTTATGCCCGCCTGTAATCCTAGCTACCCAGGAGGCTGCTTGAGATCTGAGGATGATGGTTCAAAGCCAACCTGGGCAGAAAAGTCCACAAAACTTATCTCCAATTAACCATCAGAAAGCCAGAAGTGGTGCCATGGCCTTAAGCAAAAGCAGCTCAGGGACAATTCCCAGGCCCTGAGTTCTGTGGCAGGAAGTAGGAGAACCTAAAATTTTCAGCTGGCCTGGCTAGCTTAACCTAGCATGGTCAAGGCTAGCCTGAGCTGCCTAGGGACTGCCTCAAAACAATGATAAATGACAAGAACCAAAACAAAGGCCAGGGATGCTACTCAGTGATACGTCATTTACCTATCATACACAAGGCCTGGGTCTGATGCCAGACACCTCAAAACAAACAAAATCACCAAAACAAAAATGTACCTCTGTAAGTATTTTATGTTTACATATACACAAATAATTCAAGATGGCATTTCAATGTAGAAGTTAAAGACAAGTTGTTCTGATCAAGTAGTGACCAAAAAAAATTGCCTGATATTTAAAAACAAACCATTCCTGGATACAGAGGAAATATTCCATGATAGCAAATATTTATTTCTGAGAAAGGAAACAACTACAGAAAGCCTTTTAATATATTTGTTCAAAGTAACCATTGCTATTGAGGGAAAAAAATCTCAACAATCCCCCCAGTACTACTTTTTCAAAACCAACACATCAAACTTGATTTTCATTAGAATGTAATTATTCTCACCATTAATTTAAAAACTAAGACTCATAGTGTTCACACACACACACACACACACATACACGCACGCACGCACGCACGCACGACTAAGACTCATAGTGTTCACACACACACACACACACACACACACACACACACACACATACACACACGCACGCACGCACGCACGCACCCAGAGTAGAGGTATGAGATGGAAGGCTTGGTTTACCATTCTGATGAATCCAGAGTTTAGACTCGAGAGCTTAAGGGGTACAACCTGCTCACCGC